TATGTTTGTGTAGGTGTAAGGGTACATGAGTCCACATAGCTATGGAGGACCCGGGCATCCAGCCACCCTGGAGCTGGAGCTCTGGACAGTTGTGAGAAACCAAGCACGGGTATTGGGAGTGGAACTTAGGTCCCCTGTAAGAACAGTGTGACACTCTCAGTCTCGGAGTCAGTTCCTCTGGGCAGTTTCTTCTAATTCATTATTCACTAATCCTTCCTTCTGACATATCTTTCTAATAAAGCTTTAATTTGAGGATTACTTGCTAATTTTGCTACTGTGGTTCTTATTATATTACTAGATATGTTGTTTGTTTTTTAACTAGTTGGTTAGGTCACTTCTTTTAAATAGTCTCTGGAAGATTCTCTCAAATTTTTGTTTCCTTCAACTGCCCTTTTACGGTTTTTAAGTACATATGGCTGCTGCTATACCAGTTGCTCTTCTTCATGGTACCTTGTTTTTCAGTAGGAAATGTTTTCTTTAATTTTTTATGCCAGCTCATTGCCTTTGGAAATGGTTCTCAGCAGTCTTGCAGCCTGGGATGAAATTGTTTTCTTCTGTAAAGAATAATAATTTGGTTCTGTGGGGCTGCTAGATATCAGTATACTGTGGCACCTCCTTAAACCAGGCTTGAAGTTTTGCACAAACTTTCACGTCTCCTAGGTCTCCCTTGTCACCTGCTTGCTCTCTCCTAGACTTGACTATCTTTTAATCAGGGGTGACTTCTCAACATTCACAAGCTGCACAATCCTTTGTCCGTACAAATAAACTGATACATGTTGGTGAATGAACAAAATTTTAGTTGGCCGCGTTAGTGTATCCTCTCTCTATCTTCATTCTGTTGGCTTGTTAAGAGCATCATTCTACACTAGATATTATCCCTCATAAGGTCAACTTTTAAGGCATTGCTATGCCATCTCCTCTGTGCAAATTACTCAAATCCTGTGTCACAAAGGAAGTGGGTACTTGGCAAATAATTGGTTCTCAGCTAAGACTTTTATATGCTTATCAGTTCTGTTCACAAGTGGACTAAACCACATATTTCTAGAAGTCTTCATATTTAAGCAGGACATTTAGAATATTGCTTGGGTTACCACTGGCAATAATGCTTTGTGGCCCTGGAACTTCTATGTCTAATATCTTTTCCCTTAGGGTATTCCAGTCCACTTTCCAGGATTTCACTCTACAACTGGCCAGTGATTGTGCTTTTTATATTGCTCACTGGAAACCATCATTACCACTATCTAAACTAAAATCCAAACTTATCAACTTTTATGTATCTTCCACGTACGTGGCATAGCCAGGTTTCATGGACGGGCATCTCTGAACAAGGTCACTAGGGCTCTGTCACTTACCAGTCGTGTGAGCCCTTCCGTGACAAACTGCTGATCATCGATGGCAAGATGGATATAAGGACACTGACTGCAAGGATAACCTACGTGTTTGACAGAATTAGAATAGCTCTACAAAGCTTTTTTGAAAAGAATAGCAATATGCTTTGATATTTATTGCCTGTGGGTACATGGACTCAGTGAATGAAGGATAGTAACTCAGATGTTTCTTCTATAGACCCTGGTTTCCCTACCAAATTATAAAGTGAGTCCTTAAATAGTAGTTGTAAAGCTCAACCATGGGACAAACATAAACAACCTGGTTCAACACTTGGCCCATGATTAAGAGAATTACAACTGTGTTTCTCATCCCTCTTGCAAGCTGAGACCAAATTTTTCTTTCCTATGGAACTACAGTCAGGGTTGCACATCACAGCGTATTGTGTCAAAGGACACTCATTGTCCTTCTGTTTCTTGAAGTGCTAGCTACATTTTAAGGCTGAGTTCAAACACCACTTCCTCACTTAGCATCCTTAAGCCTCAATCTGAAACACTCCTTCTCAGCTCCAACCAGACAGATGAGAATGCGTTCTGAGAAAAATCTTCCTCTCATCTCAGTTAGTGCCTGAATTTCTATACGACAATGAGTATTTTTTTATATACACAAGCCAAACACTTTTTATTGTCTGAAGGAACAGGAAGGCTGCCATATTTTATTTCCTAAATTAGCACTTAGGGTATTAGATATCATTGTGACATTTTTGAGTCAAGACTGTTTTGGTAGCTTCTTCTTCTCCCTCATCTCCCCATCTTTTTATGATCACTGGTCCTCCCATGTAAGGCTTCCATCTCCTTTCCTCTTTAATATTTTATTTCCCTAGTCACTCCCACCCTCCATCAGCACATTTTTTTTTTCCTTTTCTTCATCACTTTTCTGGTTTTTTAACTTTATCCACATTTATACACACACACACACACAATTATAGAAGATTAAAAATACAATATTTTTAAAAGTCTCATTCCTTTCAACTTTGTGTAGCTAAAGTCAGTCTCCATGAGGTTTTTAAGTTTGTTCTGAGCCACGTCTGTGCTCCTTCTTAAGTAGAATGCTCAGTAATAAAGCATTCCTTAAAATGCGTGTTTGTGAGTGATCTCACTCCTCCTGTAACTGTGATCTTTGCTGGTGGGGTGGAAGAGAGGATCATGGGTCTCTGGATTCCTACTAAATCCTGGCTTCGTGCCTACAGGTTCTTTCTAAGTTCTTTTTTCCTATTATAAACCTTAGGTAACTCTACTCCATGTCGTGGCTTCTGTACTTCCTCAGTGGGATTTCCTAGAAGCAGATATCCTGTGTGAGGTCAGCAACTCTGCAGCTTCCCAGGCTCTGCAGCCTCTCTTATGCTTAGAGCAGGTCTGTGGAGCAGAGGAACAGTGATATGCAGCAGCCAATTCACAGCAACTAGGATGTAGGACAAGGATCCAGATAGGGTATGATAAGTATCTCCTAGAGTCATCTTCATTTTATAGCTCTTGAGCATGGAAACTACATGCTTTTCTCTTATGTAATCTCCTTAAACCTCCCTTAGCACAGAAGCAATAGCTCGTGAACTGACTTGTTCAAGTTCTGATGAAGCAATCCCCAAATCTTCATTCGTTTGAAGTGGTAGTAACAGATACTTGTATTGGCCTTAGCTATAATCTCTCTTCACTATGTAATAGAGAACCAGAGTATGGGGCTAACAGAGAAAGAGATGGAGAACTCCATATTGCATGTTCCTGAAAACTTGGTTGCCCTGCTAACCCAAAAGAGGTGTAAGAAACAATGTTTAAATTTAGGACAGACAAATTACTGTGAAATATCAAGGCAAACAAGAGAAAGAGAAGAATTTCTGTGTGCTCTATTCAGTCTTAGTACTCTTTTTAATCTTACAAAAGCAATATATAAATATGGTTAGACCAAAAAATGCACAAATAGATAGCAAAAACCTATTTCCATCACGTTGGCTTTTCATTCCATTCCCTGAAACAAACCTACTATCAATAGCTTATGGAGTTCATATCAAAATATAATTGTAGTTATATATAAATATGCATATGTTTTAGTACACACTACATATAAATATATTTAAAATCACAAATTGATATATGTATATATGTGATTTTTTACACAAAGATGTTGTAGTATATAGAGTCCTGTCTACTTTGTGTTTCCACTAATCATAGATCTTGTAAATCTTTTTCCATCAACATGCCTATATCTACCATATTTATAACCTATAGAAATGACAATGTATTTAACCTGTTATTTTTCAAGCTCTCAGTCTTAAAAAATAATGACTCTGCTACTTCAGATTTTGCCACTAGAATATAGACATTTATATTCATGTCTTTGTGTACATGATTTTAGTACCATTATGTTGAAAAGTGCACCTTGCTTCTGAGCATAGCAAGAGTATCCCAGGCAGGGGTGTGGCTACTGGATGCCTTACGCCTGCATTGAATCATTTATCTTCCAGCCAAGGCCACACCCCACATCATCAGTCTTTCATCCAGAATATGACTTATAATCTGAAAAGACAGACTTTGTTACAACTTTAAAAAGCCACATGCAATTTCCAACTGAAGAACACTGTAATAGCAAGTTCTAAGATTGACGTTGATACATAATTTAAATAATAGGATAATTATGTTGAAAGGAACAGAAAACCTAAATCTTGTTCAGAATTTAAGAGACTTGGTGCTAACAGCATGTTTAATTTGAGTTTCTTTCAGCGACAGAAATTCTTCAGAAATGTAACTTGCTATTCTTTTTATCTTGAAAATTCCATATATGAACGCAGTGTATTGACTTCATTCACATCCCTCCCTCTCCCATGTCCAACTTGCCTGTGTTCTTTTAACTACCTCCTCCCAAATTCTAGACTTATTATTGTCTCATACACACACATACACACACACACACACACACACACACACACACATTCAAAACGTACTGAGTCCTATTAGTGTTGCTTTATGTACATGTGTTCAGAGCTGGCCCCTAAGATTGGGAAACCTATTGGGGGCTATCCCTAGAGAGAGCTGATTCTCTCTCCCCCAGAAGTCATTATTGCCGATAGCAATTGCCCCTTGATCCTAGCAGTAAGACCTTCTGGAATTTTGCTCATCGGTGTTGATGTTTCAGTTGGTATAGTCTTGAGAAGACATTCACATTGTTGAGAGTTCATGGGTGCTGTTTCCCATGCACAGTTAACACTAGCTGGCAGTTGTCCTGGTCTTGTGGCTTTTACAGTAACTTCATTCCTTCTTTGCTGTCGCATGAGCCTCGGGTTAGGGGTTCTGTTGCAGATGGCCCGACTGGGAATGGACACCCACTTATTCTCTGCATTTTGACAAGTGGTAGATCTCTGTAGTGGCCTTCCATAGTAAGACAAGGGAAGCATCCTTGATGAAAGATGAAAACTGCACTGCTTAATAGGTACAAAGATAAGCATGTTACCTTTTTCCTGCCGGGTTTACAGTACCAGTCATGTGTTCCTTCCTGATGAGTGGGCCTAACGTCCAATTAGACAGTTGATGATTATCCCCCAACACATATGTTACTTATATGTTGTACATGTGCTGTACCAACCCCAGTATTCCTAAAAGTGCCTCTTGTGCTTTCGTTTACAGTGAAGTACATGAGAGAAGCCACGCCTTATGTGAAGAAAGGATCCCCTGTCTCTGAGATTGGATGGGAAACGCCGCCACCTGAGTCCCCTAGATTAGGGGGCAGCTCTGCAGACCCTCTGTCATCCCAGTCCTTCTCCTTCCATAGGGACCGGAAAAACATCCCCCTCAAGATGTGTTATGTCACCCGAAGCATGACCTTGGCTGACCCTGAAAACAGGTAATGGGGCAAACTTCCGTGACCTCCTGAGGTGATGAGAGAATTTGCCAGATTGTGCTCGTGTCTGGAAAGACTCCGTGGTTCTCATGAGTAGACTGGAAGGTTCTCCCACCCTCCAAGCATGGGGAAGATACATATTGTAAGAAGGAGATTGTACTCCACCCAGGGCTCCTCCCATTCTTGCATTCTCTGTCATCAGGAGGTAAATGCATATGACCCACTTTCTAGGTAGAGTGGGAAAACTGGAATCAGCATCAGCATCCCAGTATCTTTCTTGGTTTGTTCATTATGAGTCTATGAGATTTTAGGTACGCTCCTCAAACTGCCACAGTTTGGCTTTGTCGTTTACAAGATGGGGAAAATTGAAATAGATATAAGCGTGTGAGGGCTCAGTGAGGAAAGCCTATGAAGTGCTTAGCACTGGAACAAGTGTGCACGGCAATGACAAGTGTTGGTCATGTTAGTAAAAGGCAAACATATACCTGAGCCCCAGCACCCTCAATGGTGTCCTAGGAGGCTTAGAAGGCAGAAGGCTCAAAACTCTTCTCTCCCGTAAAGGGATAAGAAATGGCATCACTCCGAGACTGTTGGGCACTTTTCCAAAATCCATAAGAGACTCTGAACGCCACAGGACAGACCTTCCACCTAATCCAGGGCACTCTAGAGGACAGCAAAGGTGGAGTAAAAGCTTACAGTCTCTTTTTACTCTAAAGGTACATGACCGCACAATACGCAAGCTGTAGGGAAAGATATCAAAGAAGAAAATTAGGAAGAAGGAGGGAGGCGGGAAAGAGAAAGAGACTGTGCAGTGAGCCAGCAAATGGGGACTCTTGGTGACCTTTGCATCCACATCAAAGTGCTAAAAATAGAAGCAGCTCTACTCATCATTCTTTACACCATGTGTGGGACAGCTGTGACTCCCACGACTGGGAGGTACTTGGCTAGGTTCACCGTTCCTGATGGGGAAAAGCCAAAGTGATTGGGGTAGGGAGAAAACTGACTCCTTGCCTCCTTACTCCATGTGGGTTTTAGTTCTCAACCCAAGAAGTTCACTCTAAGGAAACTGCTGGGGGCCTTCTGGCTCTAGCCACCTGACATACCCCACAGCCCTCCTCCCCAGCACTCTTCCCAGTGACCTCATAGCAGCACAGGGACAGGCTGCTCAGAAGAGAGAAGCAGCAAGCAGCATTGAGAGAGGAGTCAGGACCAGTGGAACGAGGAGGTGGTGCTTTCCTGATGACTGTTCTGTTTTGTTCTCCCTCCATCTCCACTGGTTCCCTGGGAGTTGATTTTCTGACTGCTCAGAATTTCCTCTTCTCTTGGGTCCTACCCACCTCATCAAATAAGCTTATTCTCCCAAAATCTAACATCAAGGTTTCAGATTCAATGAATTCACAATTTGTGGTGTGTTCGTCTTGTACTAAGTGTTTATGTAATCCAGCGATTCCAAAGTCACAACTTATAGGTATACTCTGCTCATACATGCTTCTTTCAATAGGCTAACCACCATTTTAAATAAATTCAATGTCATATTAAATATTGTGAAATTTTACATTTTAAAGATAGGTTCTTACATTGCTGAAAAGAAAAAACCTAGTGGCTACTGTTGGGCACGTGCTACTTACTGCGTGCTGGGTTCTAAGCAGCAGGACCCAGAAGCAATTTATCCTTTGACAAGGGAAAGGATGCTCTTTCTCATTCCTACTGTTCATACCTAGAGGCTTCACAGAATTTCTTGCCTTGCCCTTAATATTACCTGCTTAATGTGTAACATTTTAATCCATGATATTTCTCCTAACGGCTATCTGTAATGTTACTGTTGTCTCTAATTCTATGAGAAAAAAAAATAGAGGAAGATATCGAAATTTCCAGAAATATCATAGAAGTTATTGATACCTTGAAGAAAGAATTCATCAAGTTTGTTTTCTATTGTTCTTTTTAGCAATAGACTTATAGGCTATAACACATATGACCTATGAACAACATGAGGTCAATCAATTATCAAGACTATTTTGAGAAACCTCGGGCTTTAATAATACTGGAAATTCCATTATGTGTGTCTATCCAGAGAGGAGAATAGATTTTTCAAGCTTAATACCACTGCTGTTTAAGTCAACCACTGATGAGTTATCTGCACGACATCCTGGATGGCAGAGCCTGTCCTGCTGGGAAATGAGAAACACCAGGGCGGAATTAAAAATGAGGGTCCAGCTGAGAGAGATGGCACAGGCGGGGGCATTATGTCCAGATAGGTCCTGAACTGCTACCACCCAAGAGAGAAGGGTGAGACTTGCCCCGAGTAAAGGAAAGAAAGGAAGAGGAAAGCGATGTTTGATGGAATTGCGTTTACATGCTGGGAAGAATATAACATTGTCAGTCAGAGAGGTAATTCTGGCAAACCACAATTCTGCTGAGTACAAGAAACTCCTAATACGAAGTGATTTCAGAGGGGCAAGATGCACTGCCTGGCAGGGGCCCACAAACCTAATGCAAAGGAAGAGCGACAGAAAGCACCGATTTCAGTCTTGATCTACGACAAGGTAAAAAGCAGGCTGAAGAGCAGAAAGCAGAACAAAGAAGGGCTGGTTTATGCTGAAGACCAAAATTCACGAGAAACATTTGAGAGATTTAAACACAACCAAATGACAATACAGCAGCAGCGTGGCTAGCAGACTCTACAGAAAGAACACTACAAAACAGAAGTGTGATAGAGTAAGGTAACTTATACATGTCACTCTCAATCCAAGATGAGTCATGTGGAAGGCAAAAGATGAATAAGGACATGGAAGATTTGACTAGCACAATAATATGCTCCTAGATGTATCCTAAAATTTGATCTTGCTGTTAGAGAATGAACTTTCATTTTAGATGCTCATGAAATCCACAATCATGACACCATGACACCTGCAATCCCATATGATCTTAAATACACACAGAACTTGCATACAATTGGGCATAGAGTACACCACAAATAGAATATAGTAGGTCCCATAAGGCAGATATGATATAAACAATGTCCTCTGGCTGTAGTGGGCTGAAGCAAGAACATTAATAATAAAATCAAACCTAAAATACCTTTCTTTTGTTTTTTCTTTTTCTTTTTTCTTTTTTTCCTTTTTCTCTTTTTCACACTCTCCATGAGTAACCCTTGAACTATGGAAGAAATTCACACTGAAAAATCTAGCCAATCATTAAAAGATAATAATGGAATCCATTAACATAGGGTTAACATAAAAAAAGGGAAGAAGGAGCGAAGAGTGTGGGCCCTGTGTCTAGCTACAGGCATGAGACATCTTGGTTCTGGCACACCTACATCACGTTAGGAAAGAACTCAGCACTGAACTCACCATCCTCTGCATACTCCATCACCACTTTCTGAGCTTTGCTAAGGATTCGGAGTTAAAACCAGCAGAAGAGCTGGCTTTTCGCCCAGCCTTGGCTGACACCAAACCGATTTCTGGATCATTACCTCCATTGTCCCCGACCTCGACACCTGACAGAACAGTCCACCTGAACTGTCAGCCAGGAGTTAATGGCCTCCTGGGTACCCGAACATGCGAGCGGATTGACAAATGCCACCGACATCCCAGGGGCTGATGCCCTCAGTGGGTGACACACAGTTGCTAACAGTTTGCATTAAAACCTTTAATGCTCAATTTCTCAAACAGAAACAGTCGTAGAACAGCAGGCAAGATTGCTGCTCTTACTATGAAAAAGGTCACTCAGCAGGCACCAAATCCACAAGAATTTCACTGCTAGTGGCTATCAGTGAGAACAACACAGTCTTTTCAAAGGCTGCCTTTTTATAAGACCCCTACTTTCCATATTTAACTCTTGGCCTTCACACCCAGCATCCTCATCCTGACCACATCTTCAATCTTCCAGAGTATTTGGAGCCACATCCTTTCTGATGCTTTGTTTTCCAGCCCCCATCCTCCTAGTCAATGGAACAAGACACCCTGCATTTATCTATTTGTTTAAACAGGTTTTGTCTCCCTTGCATAACAATATCTTTGTTCTTCTTTATTGCATATAAACCCCAATAAGCTTTGTATCCTCCCTAATTGCCCAGCACCGGCCTCTACACTTTCAGCTTTTAAGCTCCAGCAATCCTTATGCAATCTGTGGAAGGCTGGCAATCACTTCCCTGTCATCTTCTCAGTGGCCTTTGTTTAAGCCCCAGCAGAAGTGACCCCTCCTGGGCATCACTCTGGCTATGCCTTCCATGCAGCTCTGAATACTTATTGCCACCTCCTAACTAACAACTTTTTCTTACATACCCACCTGTCGTTCCTGAACTCCACCGTTCTTGAAATGGGAGGCATTCAACATTTCATGTCACTGTCCTAGCTTTCAGGGACTTCCATCAGTACAAAGTAGCTATTCCAGAGTGTTCTCACTAATATATGATAAACAGCATACATATCGGTCCATTTGGGGCAGTCTTACATCTTCAAACTTCTCTTTTGAAGGCATCTTTTCCCCAGACAGTCTTAAATCTGAGAGAACAGATTAGAACAACATTCTATCCCCACACATAGAAAATTTGGTGAAACTAGGACAATGCCTTAACGAGCCTGCTTGTGGGCATGCACAGCTGCGTCAGCACAGGCCGTGTTATGAGAGACCAGTCACCACTTTGTGAAGTACACCGCATAACCCACTGTATATTTCACAGACAAAGTACAAAGAAATAAAGAAATACACTCGACCTGCTCTGGGAATCACTGTGTATTTCTGTGCACGGCGCTCAGGAGAGAAATGCGCCGAGGTGCTGTTCAGGATTCAAGGGGACAGTGTCTCAGAGAGGTGGGATCTGGAGAGTCCTGTAGGACACGCTTGGAATTATTTCCACCAAGCACCATCCGTGATGTCACCATCCATCAGAGGCTGAACTCCAGCCACAGAGAGTCAGAAAGTTAACTTAGAGGCCTGTAAGAATGGATTCGTCAGTGAAAGGTCGGCTCACATTAACCTAATAGCCAGAATCCACTTAAGTG